GTCTCGACGGTACCGGCAATTGTAGATACACTACCCTTTTCCTATTAGAAGGCTTCAATATGCAACATAGCTTACACCCTCCAACATACTTAGTGACATCCTCTAACATCTTCGGCCAAAAGACATGACGCCGTAGATTGAGAAGCGTCTTCTGAATCCCAAAATAACATTGCACACGTGATGTATGGGCTTCTCGAATCCACTGTAATCAGTCGCCATCCTCCGGAATGCATAGCGACGTCCCTCGATACAACAAACCATCTGCACCAATCTCATACTCCCCCTTTCGACCAGCCTTTGCCTGCTCGAACACTCTGCTAAAATCTCGGTTGGATGTGTACATCTGTACATACTCTAAAGGAACCAAGGGCTGAATGCGCGTCGCCACCAAGAGAGCTCTCACGAGTGGGCGAGATAACATATCGGCTAACTTGTTCGTTGTCCCCTTCTTGTACCTAATGATGATATTGAACGCTATCAAATAGGACATCCACTTCATGTGTTGTGCCTGCTGTAGCTTCGTTTGGACATGTAAAAATTCTAATAGCTTGTGATCTGAGTGCACAACCACCTCCTTTCCCAACAAATATACCCGCCAATGCTTGATTGCTTGATAAAGTGCATAAAGCTCCTTGTCGTAGGTGGGATAGTTCTGAATTGCACCCGTAAACATTTCTGAATGGTACTCCACCGACTTCTCATCCTGAATCAACACAGCGCCCATAGCATAACTAGAAGCGTCGGTCTCTACCTCGAAGGTCCTCTGTAAATTCGGCAATGTCCATACTGGTGCCTCCGAGATCTTCCTTTTTAATAACTGAAAAGCTTCCTTATGCGTCCTCCCCCACTCAAACTGAACATTCGCCTTCGTAAGGCTATGCAAAGGTGGCGCATAAGTCGAGAAATATCGAATGAACTTGCGCAAATACTGACAAACCCCTATGAAGCTTCTCACCTCCGTCACTGTCCTAGGTGTCGGCCACTTCATGATCACCGCCACCTTACCTGAATCTATCTTCCGCTGGCCTCCCGAGATACACCACCTCGTTCTTTCCGAATTCGCACTTCTTCCCGTTAAGCTTCAACTGTCCGTTCTGCAGCACTTCAAACACCTTCTCGACATGAACAAGATGCTCCTCCCAGGTCCTGCTGTACACCAAGATATTATCGAGGTAAACTATCACAAAATCCTCTATAAAAGATCGTAACAAATCGTTCATAAGTCTCATAAAGGTAGCCGGAGCGTTGCACAATCCAAACGACATCATCAACCACTCGAACAGGCCCTGCTTGGTTTTGAACGCAGTCTTCTAAGTGTCATCCTCCCGAATCCTCACCTGATGGTAACCAGACTTCAAATCCAGCTTCGTAAAAAACCTCGCTCCTTCCAACTGGTCCATAAGATCATCAATCCGAGATAATAGGTATCGATTCTTGATGGTTATCTTGTTGAGCGTCCGGTAATCCACGCACATGCGCTAGCCTCCATTCTTTTTGGGCACCAACAACACTGGTGACCCGCAAGGGGAACAACTCGGCACAATTACTCCTGTCTCCAAAAACCCCTGAACCTGCCTCTTGTTCTCCTCAGACTCCCCTACAGATATGCAGTATAGACCTATATTCGGCAAAGAACCATCGTCGGTCATCATAATCTCATGCTCCATACCCCGTCGTGATGGTAGTCCCGTGATCTCCGAAAACAAGTCCACGTACTTGGCCTTCAACCTGTCAAGATCTCTCTCCTGAAACTTGCTCAAGGTAGTCAAGCACACCCTACCCAGCTGCTCCTCATAAGGCCTAATGACTAACAATACAAACCTCTTACTTGCATTCACTAGCCTCTTCACCTGAGTCACTGTCACCAAACTCGTCTCCTGTAAAAGAGATGCCGAACGAAAGATGAATTGCTTACCATCTTTGATGAATGTATATTTCTGGACTCGCCTATCGTAGACCGCAAACATATCCCATAAATAAGGATTGCCCAGTATTACTTAGCAAACATCCAACGGAATGACATCACATGTGACCTCGTCAATATACGACTCGTGGAGTGTAAATCTGAAAGTACATTGGTTGACCACACTCAATCCCGCCTCCTTCTGAATCCACCCTAAAGGATAAGATTTCGGATGTTTAACCGTCTTCAATCCCAACTTCTGAATCAAGACCTCAGATATCAAATTCTTCTGGCTTACTGGATCCACTATGGCATCAACCAAGCTGGTCTTGACCTGCAATTTCAAAACAAAGAGCTACTCCCTCGGATCTTCATCCTCAGTCGTGGTCTGCTTCCCCGTCATAAAGTTGAGACTGCTATTGAGTTCTATCATCCCGAGAACTTTCTTCGGACCCCAAGCTGCTACATATGCCTTATTCTTCTTATTTTTCTTCAATCCTTTTGACTTCAGATGAGGATACTTCTCCCAGCAATGATCAGTTACGTGCCATGTCTGTTTGTAGTGATTGTATGCCAATCATGTCTTCCCCGAATCACCCTTCTTCTTCTCTTCCTTAGGTTGAGAGCCACTAGACTTGTCCCCCGTCTGTTTGGAATCTCCCTTCGTTTCGTTGTCCTTCTTTTGCCTGCCCTCAATGGCAATGGCCTTCACACTCGCTTCTGCCATGGACTCGACTATGAACAACTTCATCTCCTTTCGGATATATTCATTCAGGTCCGTCATATACTTCATAAAGATAAAATATTCCTCCGTCGCGGTGTTGAGAACCATCGCCTACTGCTGGAACTCCGTCGTATATTCTTGAACAGTCTGTTGAATCTTTAGCGCAATCCGTACCATTTATACCAACGCTCTTCAAGGAACCCTACTGGATAGAACCGCTTTCTCAGTAGCTTCTTGAATTTGTTCCACGATACCGCCTTCCGTTCATGCTTACAATAGGATTTCCATCATGTCAATGCATGCCCCGAAAGCTTCAAAGTCGCGAATACAAGCTTCTCCTTGGATGAATATCCGTAGAAGGTAAAATACGTCTACATCCGCTCGATCCAGTAATCAAGCCTCTCGACGTTGACACTCCCATCATAAACAGGAATCTCTATCTTAAAGTCTATCTTCAAATTCTGGTAAGAACCCTTACCCCTTGATGCGGAACAGTTTTAACAATCTCGTCCTCCCTATCAGAATCAGATTCCTCGCCTTCTCCATCGGACTCCATAAGTTTATTCTTACCTTTCGAAGAAAATTCCTCCTTTTTGTCCTTTTCTTGGAAGATATTGACGAGCTGTGTGAGAGTCGAACTCATTGTCTCCATCTATTTCTCCAATGCAATTAGCTCCGCTGAACTATCTCCTTCAGTTATCTTTTTCTTTCTTAATTTCTGGACTCCTTCCAATAAAATAAGGATCTCGCCTAGCTTCTTATATTACGATCTAGTCAGAACCATACACAGAATGCCTCATTCACAGGATCTGATCGCTCTGATACCAACTTGATACGAGTTGTCGTGCGAGTACCTTTGATCGCAGAATTATCAAAGATGAGTTAAGAAGAAAATAACAAGAACACAAGAACAATTCAGTGGTGACGAAGAAAAATACATTATCTAGATTATGAGAATAAAATAGTTTACAATCTCTCACAATCTCACTAGAATTAAAGAACAATCTCTCTCAATTCTTAAATACAATCTAATCTCTCTTGATTGCTTTCTCCTCCTTTTTTTAAAACCCTAAAACAATCCCTTATATAGGTGTAACAACGTGGATGACAAAATGATAAATAATCAAACCCAAACCCCACAGGAATTCGTGCAAACAGAAACCCAAACGAATCAGGAAACCGTTGATGAGTCGACTCATAAACATGCATGAGTCGACTCATGCCAAGTGAGTCGACTCATGATGAGGTGAGTCGACTCGTCAGAAACTTTCGACAAAACGGCTGGGTTTCGTGAGTCGACTCATGATAGGCATGAGTCAACTCAACCTGATGAGTCGACTCATGTATATGTATGAGTCGACTCACGGGCTGAAAACTGGATGCTTCGATTCTTCGATTCGTCGTCTCGTTCCACGCTTCAACCTGCGTTCCACTGTGTTGTTTTACCCCTCTATTCTCAAGTTACCATGAGAATCATCTATCATCAAGCTCTCATGAGGATCGCTAAGTTCCGAAGAGAAGATACACCCGTATCAAAGAAGAACACAAAATATGGGAATAGTAGAACAAGTACAGGTCACCAAAGTTATCACGGAGGTTAAAGGAGCTTTCATGATATGCTACGTATCTGGCCAAGAAATTTCTGGTTCCTGCAAATATACAGATATGTCGAGGGGGAACAAAAGCTTGTTGTTATGGTTGTCATCAGAATCCCATAATAATTTGAATGGTATTGTTGGGTACAGAACCTTGCAGTTTGTTAGTTACTAACGGTGTATCTTCCAGTGCATCTCCTATTCGTGGCTTTTTGAAGATTCACATCTATTATTAGATGTCGGCTAGATTGCAAAAGGTCAAAAGAACGGACCCCAAAATCGTATTCTTGCTGGTAAAGCTCAAATCAAACAGGGTGAGGACCCTATTATGTTACTAACTTACTCCGTAACTATGTTAGATTATCTGAGATAACTATGTAGCATTGGACATTTCTTCCACTTTGTACACTTTAGATCCAGCCATGTTATCATACCAGATGAGACTATAAAAAGATATTTGTCATTGCAACAAGGTCAGAGATGACAGAATAGTTATCACACTGAACTTTGAGTTTATCAACATCATGCCGAGCCTTTTCTCCTCAAAATATGATCACCAATAAAGCATAAACTGAAAATAAGAAGCCTAATCTGCTCCATGAACAAGTTGGCCATGATAGTTACAGCTATCATTTGCTTGCATGTTTGATTCCAAAAGAAATGCAAATCAAGGGTCCATTATTGCCTTCAACAAGTCAACTACAAGAAATTCAAATCAAATTTTCACAGAACCAAATCCCAACAAACATTACAATCGTTTCAAGTTAAAAGCTCAGACCTTGCAGCGCGAGACTATGATAAGAGCCAGCAGCAATCCCGACGAACTTCGGTCTCGATCCATTCATCGAAGAAGACGAAGAAGAAGCATCGCCAAACTCTACAGGAACTGGACAGAGCTCGTCCTCTTCTCTTCCAGTCCCAAGACGCCCAAAAGTCCCTCTTCCCCATGAAAACACGCTCCCGTCCCCTACAATTCACAGGAAATTTACCAATTAATCAAAAAAAAAAAACCCAAAATTGAGTTAAACCCTAAGTTTCTGTACCCGTTAGAGCTAGGGTATGCGCTTCTCCGGCCGCGATTGCCGTAATTTTGTTCGACAATTTCCCCATTTTCCCCCCTCGAGCTGCAAAATGGAGCTTGATCCGATCGAAGTTTTGAAGGATAAGAGTGAATAAAGCAGCGGAGTGATGATTTTATAAAGTGCCAGTGTGCTATCTTGAGCCGGGGAGAGAGGTGAGTAGTTTGGCGAGAATTTTTAGTATTTTGTTTTGTTTTGTCGCGTTGGCGTTTGCTGGGAAAATTGTAGGGACGAAGTCGGATCACTCTGCAAGAAAGAAACAAAAACAATTAGTAGGTGGGATTAGATAAATATTTGATTAGCCGAAGTATCTTAATCGGTGGTTTAAACTTTAACTATGTAAAGATTTGTTTTAGTAATAATTGTGAGAGATTGTCATTAGATGGTCATAGGATAAGGAATAAGCTTTCGTAACGAGGAGAAAATAATTCTTTTCATAAAGTTTGGATTCCCACCTCCATCGCAAAAGATGATGTGGCTTTTGTTTACTTTTCTTTATTGCCTTTGCTTTTTCTCTTTCGCATCAAATAGCTTAATTTCTTAGGGGCTGTTTGTTTGCATAAGGAGAATGAGAAAGCCTATCAAAAGTGTCAATTTTGACAGGTTTTCAACCCATTTCTCTCTCTAAAAGAGGCAACCAAACGCACCTTGATAATGTTGCTTATGCAAAAGTTACTGTTCACCAGGCTAGAAACTTCTGATTTACATAAAAAAAAAAAAAAAAACTGTTAGCTGCACTTATAACTTACAATACAAAATGACAGTTCTAATTGTCTAATTGTGATTTTTTGTTACCTATAATTTTCATGCAATTACAATAATAAATACTTGCTATAACCAAAGGAAAAAAAACTACAAGTACAACTATAATTTGCAAAAAGTAACAACTGAACCCTCAACAAAATAGATGACGTGACATAGAACATTCATTATTACGAGCATCTTTTATCTGCTTGCCACTTCCCTTGTTTCTGTAAGAAAGTATTTGTAGTTGTTGTGAAATTGAGAAGCATGACCATGAATAGATTCGATCATATAAAAATTGAACAGAACTTTCCTTAAAATGGTTGATTGAAAGCTAAACTTAATTATCATGTGATTTGTATATAAAAAAGACTTTGAAGTTGGTTCTTGTTAATTTGCCCTATTTTAAAGGTGGTTTTCCTAAAAAAAACCTCATTATCTTTTTAAAGAAAATCCTTTAGCAATTCTAATTTTCTTGAGAAAATTCTCTCGCATTATACCTTCTTCTGTTGTAATTTTGAATCTGGATAGACGTAATTAAATTTAGGACCTGAAGCGATGTTGTAGGTTGAGTTGCAATCAAAACACTTGCCAGTGGTAGTAGAGATAAAATGAAAATGATTTAAGGACCCAAAATATGGGACCAAGGGAAGGGACATGTGAGGTGTCCCCTTCCTATTGCATAATGAGTTGGCCATGCCAACTCATTATGCAATAGGGAGGGGACACCTCACCTGTCCCCTCCCCTGTCCCCTCCCCTGGTCCCTCCCCTGGTCCCATATTTTGGGCCCCCGTAGCAGCACTCGAGATAAAATGGTCATATCACTACTTGAAAGTTTAATCCTTCTAACAATTATTGAAAGATGGTCTCTCCCACTTCCCTGGTCCCTCCCCTGGTCCCATATTTTGGGCCCCCGTAGCAGCACTCGAGATAAAATGGTCATATCACTACTTGAAAGTTTAATCCTTCTAACAATTATTGTACCCCTCCAATCTATCTAATCCAATGGCCTAGATTTCGATGGCAGAATTGTAAATATAGACAAATTTAATACACTGCATTAATGTGAAAAGGGTAAAATTGGAACAATTCATTGCATTAATGGTGACTGATTACATTGGAACAATGATACAAATTTAATACACGTCCTTTAATACTCTCTCTTACATTATAGACAAATTCCCTCTCACGTTCTCCTCTCTCTCTCCTCCATTTCCCAAAAGCTTGAACCAGCCCCCTCTCTCTTCCTCTCTCTCACCACCACAAACACCACTAACTCCTCACCGAGCTCCTCCAACTCCACTGCCCCTGAGCTCCCTCCGACGAACCGAAGCCGCTCTGACGAACCGAAGCCGCGAGTGAATCCAGATTCACTAAATTGAATCCAGATTCAGTGAACTGAAACTCGTTATCAAACAATAGCAAATCTGCAAAAATAAAAAACAAAAAGAATAAGAAACTTATGGATTCACTAAAAACCATCCTAACCATCCAAGCTTTCGCTGTAGTGAATCTGGATTCACTGCAGTGAATCTCGATTCACTGCAGTGAATCTCGATTCACAGCAGTGAATCGCGATTCACTG